ACTGGTGAGGAAACTGAGGCCCAGAGAGATTAAATAATTTGCCTAGGGCCAAAGAACAAGTAAGTGGCAGAGCTACAATATGAGTACATGCCAAAGTAATTGTAATACATCACTACAATAAACTCCCCTCCCAAATGAGTCATTAATTAAAAGAGAACTTCATATTGTGAGTGAACATTCATCTCAATAGACTCATATTTTCAACCTTCCCACTTTCCTTTTACAAGTCCTTTTGAGGTTTACTATCTAATTTGGTAGCCACTGGCCACATGTGGTATTAAACACTTGAAAAATGGCATCTGAATTGAGATGTGCTGAAGCTTAATGCACACACCAGCTTTCAAAAATTTCATACAAAAAGAAGAATGTAAAATATTAATAATTTTTGTGCATAACATGTTGAAACTGTGTTTGATATATTGGACTAAATAAAGTATTTATTAGTTATTATTAGTTAACTTCACTTGGTATTTTTTAAATTTTTGAAATGTTCTTACTAGAACAGTAAATTACATGGCTTGTATTATATTTTTATTGGTCAGCACTGTTGTAGAATTTCTTCCATGTCCTTTCTACTACATTTGTTGACCATCTCCATCTAGCCTCAAATTAAGATTATTCTAACATTCCCCTTTTGGGAACCCTACAATATGCATCTACTTAAAGGAAGTTATGAGATATGCTTTGTTTTAACACTAATTATCTGTGATGAAATGTCCTTGCATGTACTGCACATTTCCATACCTTTTCTCCATACCTAGTTTGCAAAGCATCAGTAATTAGGTGAAAGAAAAAAGGAGAAACAGTGCAAAAATCTATTTGATGATAACTTCCCAGTAGTGAGCTAAAATTTGAAGGAACAAAGCCGGTGTATAATTACACATATCACCACTTCACTATACATTCATGCAAGGCAAGTTACCCACAGAATGACTAAATGTACACTTATCCAAGAGATTCATGATAAAAGATTAATTTTGTAAAAGTTTATAATGACTTGTAACATTTTAATTTTATTTATTTATTATTTTAAACAGCTTTATTAAAGTATAAATTACATACCATAAAACCCACCCATTGTAGGTATGTAGTTCAGTGATTTTCATAAATGTACAGAGTTGTACAACCATCACCTGGTATAGTTACAAAACATTTCTATCACCCCCAGAAGTTTCTTCATGTCCATTTGCAGCTCTTCACTTTCACCTCTAGCCCTAGGCAACCACTGATCTGCTTTCTCTTTCTAAAACTTACCTTTTCTAGACATGCATACAAATGGAATTGTACAATATATACAGTCTTCTGTATGTGGCTTCTTCACTGTGCATGTTTTTGAGCTTCATCTATGTTATAGCAGTCTATTAGAGTTCCTTAAAGAAACAAGACCAATAAAATATACATAAATATTTAAAAAGGGATTTATTACAAGGGCTTAGCTTATGTGATTACTGAGGTTAAGTCCCATGATCTGTCTTCTGCAAGCTGGAGACCCAGGAAAGCCAGTGGTGTAATTTCAGTACAAATCTGAAGGCCTGAGAACCAGGGGAACCAATGGTGTAAGTTTTAGTCCAAGTCCAAAGGCCTGAGAACCAGGAGTACCAATGTCTAATTGCAAAAGAAGATAGATGTTTGAGGTCAATCAGACAACAAATTTGCCTTTCCTCTACATTTTTGTTCTATTCAGGCCCTCAAAGGATTGAATGATGCTCACGATAAATTGGTGAGGGTGATCTTTACTTTCTACTGCTTTAAATGCTATCTCCTCCAGAAATACTCTCAGTGACACACCCAGAAATAATGTTTTATCAGCTATTTGGGCATCCCTTATAGCGTAGTCAAGTTGACACATAAAATTAAACATCACAAGCAATAACATTTTCATTTTAAATATGACTGACATATTCTTAGTCTCTTCCTTTAATAGTGAAAAAGGCAATATTACAAAGATCACTAAGGGAAAAGCAGAACTACCAAGATAAATGCCCCAATGTTTTATAATAAAGACCCTTCTTTTTTTCTTCAGAAGTATGTAACTTCCAACAGGGAATTTTGCAAGAAAATATTTTTTCCCTTAAGCTTATTGAAATCCTTACAGATTGGGCACCTGGGTGGCTCAGTTGGTTGAGCGACCGCCTTCGGCTCAGGTCATGATCCTGGAGTCCCGGGATCGAGTCCCGCGTCGGGCTCCCTGCTCAGCAGGGAGTCTGCTTCTCCCTCTGACCCTCCCCCCTCTCATGTACTCTCTCTCTCTCATTCTCACTCTCTCAAAATAAATGGATAAATCTTTAAAAAAAAAAGAAATCCTTACAGATTTCAGGAATATAAGGAACTTTAAAAGTCAAGTCCACTGTCTAACTAATGTGTAAATGTCCTCTACAACATTTCCAAATGTGTGTAATGGGAAACTCAGTCCTTTCCAATGCTGCCAATCCATCATTGTCATAGTCATCATTGTCATCGTCACCATCATCATCAAAATCTTTTTTTTTCTTATATTGAGCTAAAATGTGTTGATGTGTAGCTTTTACCCATGGATTCTATTTCTGGCCACTGTTCTTGATCATATAAACCAATCCCACTTGTACCATGATAGACATAAAATTACTTAAAGAAAGCTGTTCTCCACCTGGAAACTTCACTGGTTTCCACTCATTTTTCTGTATACACATTGTCTCATTCCAACATCTTCAAAGCACTGAATTATTGCATTCCCTCACCCACAAGTACTATAGCAAGTGGTCAAGCAAATGGTAGTTAGGACCTCCGCTTTTTGCTTACAGTGATTGTTCAGCCATAGAGATAGAAAGAGATATACCAAATAGCGATTTGTTAGCCATTCTTTATTAAGATTAGTCTCCAAGCAACTCTGCTTTCCCCCACTCCATTTTAAGGAGATGTTATTAACCCAATTCAGAGCCTAGTTCAACTGATTCAGTCATGCAACATGTATATGCAAAATCATGAATCCTAGGTTGACCCACCAAGGCTTCTTGTTTCCATTTCCATTTGTACTGTTAAAGTAGAGTGTGTGCTTCTTTCATTCATTCTTAACCAGGATTTTTTTTAACTGGAAAGGAAAAAAAAAGTTAGTATCCATCTCCAGGAAGGTGTATTATAAAAAAGAGGGCATTACCTGGTCAGATTTTTGCACAAACAAAATAGAATAGTTTTAACAAATTTCATCCAAATGATTATTAAAAGAATAAATTTTTTTAAATATTTATTTATTTATTTGACAGAGACAGACATAGTGAGAGAGGGAACACAAGCAGGGGGAATGGGAGAGGAAGAAGCAGGTTTCCTGCTGAGCAGGGAGCCCGATGTGGGGCTCAATCCCAGGACCCTGGGATCATGACCTGAGCCAAAGGCAGATACTTAACAACTGAGCCACCCAGGCGCCCCTGAAAGGATAAATTTTTAAGACTCAACAAAAATAGACCTGGAAATGAAGAGAAAGAGAAAGTATAACTGAGGAAATAGCCCCTAGAATATAGTATTCTCTGTTTGGATTTTTTTCCCCATTTTTCTGACCTTAAGTGTTTATCATTGTGTATGAAAACTGTGTTTTTTTAATTAAAATTTTTTATCTTCTAGAGAGAGAGGGAGAGAGAGAGCTCACACATGCAAGTGGGGGGGAGGAGCAGAGGAAGAGAAACGGAGAGAGAATCCCAAGCAGGCTCCACACCCAGTGCAGAACTCAATGCAGGGCTGGATCCCAGGATGCTGAGATCATGACCTGAGCCAAAATCAAGAGTCAGTTGCTTAACCAACTGATCCAAGCGCCCCTGAAAACCATCTTAATTCAATAGTTTCTCAAGATTGAAAGACATGCCTTATAGTTTCACTTTGCCTTAACATCTAGTATAAATGCTCACAGATGGTGGTGACTAATAGGCCTCACTTTGTTCAAATGACATTCTGAGCAAAAATTATGTATACATCACATAAGGCAGCAAAGAATGATTGGGGAAGGTATAGATACAGTACATGCAAAAAGCCTTGGAGGCTGGAATCTAGTTCTGGCTCTACCATTAACTTGCCCTGTGACCTTGGACAAATCATTTAATACTACTATAGTCCTTTTTTCCCAGCTGTAAAATGAGACAGATAAACCTGATAATCGCTAAAGTTTCTTCCAGTTTCTTCCAGTTCTGATACTCTACAAATTCATAGTTCAAATATAATAAGAAGTGTTAATATTTATTTTATCCTTGCCTTGTGGTAGATACTACGTTAAACAGCAGTTACATGCATTAACTCGTTTGAATCTCGAGTAACCTTGTAAGGTAGGTAATGTTAGGGAAGTTAAGGAACCTGCCTAAGGTCACAAAATAGTGCAACTGGGTTTTTAACCCAGGCAGTTTGACTTCAGAGCTGGCATGCAATCTCTACACTAAATTAACTCTAAATATATAAGAGAAGCTTGGTATTTAAAGATGTTCTACAGTGAATACTTTGAGAAAATGAATGGTCATCTCCTAATTGATTGGCTTTTAAGTTCTTATATAGCTCAAGAGTTTCCATTTGGTGGAATTTTTAAAAATCTGGTTACATCTGTATTTGTTGAATGAGTACAAATTCTTAATTAACTCAGGTTTAAGATGAAGAAAGATAGCAAAGGATGGAATTTAATCATCCTTGCCTTCCCTCATCTTAGCAGGCTGGTTGTTTCCTACGGTGTTACTCCACTGAATACACGGCTCAAAAATGATAATTATGGAAAGAAGGATTAGAAAAATGACATTTTGGGGCACCTGGGTGGTACAGTGATTAAGCATCTGACTCTTGGTTTCAGCTCAGGTCGTGATCTCAGGGTTGTGAGATCAAGCCCTGCGTCAGACTCCGTGCTCAGCATGGAGTCTACTTGAGACTCTCTCTCCCTCTGCCCCTCCCCCTCCCACTCTCTCTCTCTCTCAAATAAATAAATAAATCTTTAAAAAGGAAAATACAAATGTTTTTAAATATCACTAATTTTGACCTTTCTCTTTTTTTTTTCACAGTGACTGTTTTGAGCCCAACAGAAAAAGGTAAGATAGTATTGTAAATTGTATTGGTCAGAATTGTATCCTTTCTATCTAAAAATGAATTACATAAAAGCCTATAAATTGAGCAACTTTCCCAGGAATACTGAATTGAGTGGAAAGTTTAGGATGGCATTTTTCAGGAGGCATACCAGGAGCTTACCCAGAGATAAAGCAGAACATATTTTTGATGGCCCCTTTGGCTATAGGACAGGAATTGGAAGTTACCAGTATTTATGTTAGAGAAAGACATAGATAATCATGCTGTTGGCCATAGTCACCCTAGGCTCTTGCTTCATCACTGTTGTCCTAGGTACCTTGCCTTCCTACACAATTCATTCCTTCTTAAAGGTATGGAATAAGGGTCCCACAAGGAAATTTAAAAGGATAAGTCCTTCACCATCACAGTTGCAATATATTTACATATTCTTCCCCACTTTTCACCCCCATCTGGCTTAATCTGCAATTTATACTACCACTGTAGAGAGATTGAGGAATTTTCCATTAGAAAATGTATAAACTAAGCATGAATCTTAACACTTAACCTTGTGTTATTTTTTCAGGCATAACCATAAGTATTTATGTAGCCACTTTATATAGCCACTTTTAATTCTCACTTCATGGGATTAACTGTTATAATTAATTAGTTACATAATGTTCATATTATGCATTTTTATTTTTTACTCTTTTTTATTTTAATGCTAGTATATTTAACATAACAGTATTTTATTAGTTTCAGGTATACAATATAGTGATTCACAATTCTATACATTACTCAGTGCTCATCATGATAAGTGTACTCATTAATTGCCATCGCCTATTTCACCCATCCCCCAAACTAGCTGCCCTCTGGTAACCACCAGTTTGTTCTCTATAGTTAAGAGTGTTTTTTGGTTTGTCTCTCTTCATCTTTTTTCCTGTACTTTTTTGTTTCTTGTTTCTTTCTTGTTTTGTTTCCTAAATTCCACGTATGAATGAAATCATATGGTATTTGTCCTTCTCTGACCAACTTACTTCACTTAGCATTATACTCTCTACCTCCATCCATTTATTTGCAAATATCAAGATTTCATTTTTACTGATTTCTGCGTAATATTTGATTGTATATATTTACCACATCTTTTACATCCATCAATGCACACTTGGGCTGCTTCCAGTTTTGGCTGTTATAAACAATACTGCAATAAACATATGGGTGCATGTATCCCTTTCAATAGATGTTTTTGTATTTTTGAGGTAAGCACCCAGTAGTGCAATTACTGTATCATAGAGTAGTTCTATTTTTAATTTTTTGAGGAACCCCATAATATTTTCCACAGTGGCTGCACAAGTTTGCATTCCCACCAACAATGCAAGAGGGTTCCCCTTTCTCCGTACCCTCACCAACACTTGTTTTTTCTTGTGATTTTGGTTTTAGCCATTTTGCAGGTGTGAGGTGATACCTCATTGTAGTTTTGATTTGCATTTCCCTGATGATAAGTGATGATGAGCATCTTTTCATGTGTCTTTTGACCATCTGGATGTCTTTGGAGAAATATCTGTTTATAACTTCTGTCTATTTCTTAATTGGATCATTTGTTTTAGGGGTGTTGTGTTGTATCAGTTCTTTATATGTTTTGGATACCAGCCTTTTATCTGATATGTCATTTGCAAATATCTTCTTCCATTCTGTCGGGTGTCTTTTGGTTTTGTTGACTGGTTCCTTTGCTGTGCAAAAGTTTTTTATCTTGACGAAGTCCCAATAGTTCATTTTTGCCCTTGTTTCTCTTGCCTTTGGCGATGTGTCTAGGAAGAAGTTGCTGCGACCGAAATCGAAGACGTTGCTGCCTGTGTTCTCCTCAAGGATTTTGATGGATTCCTGTCTCACATTTAAGTCTTTCATCCATTTTGAGTCTATTTTTGTGTATGGTGTAAGGAAATGGTCCAGTTTCATTCTTCTGCATGTGGCTGTCCAGTTTTCCCAACACCACTTGTTGAAGAGACTGTCTTTTTTCCATTGGATATTCTTTCTTGCTTTGTCGAAGATTAGTTGACCATGGAGTTGAGGGTCCATTTCTGGGTTCTCTATTCTGTTCCGTTGATCCATGTGTCTGTTTTTGTGCCAGTACCATACTGTCTTGATGATTACAGCTTTGTAATAGAGCTTGAAGTCCAGAATTGTGATGCCACCAGCTTTGGTTTTCTTTTTCAACATTGCTTTGGTTTTCTTTTTCAACATTCCTTTGGCTATTTGGGGTCTTTTGTGGTTCCATACAAATTTTAGGATTGTTTCTTATAACTCTGTGAAAAATGCTGGTGGTATTTTGATAGGGATTGCATTGAATGTGTAGGTGGCTTTGGGTACTATAGACATTTTAATAATATTTGTTCTTCCAACCCATGAGCATGGAATATCTTTCCATTTCTTTGTGTCATCTTCAATTTCTTTCATTGGTGTTTTCTAGTTTTCAGAGTACAGGTCTTTTACCTCTCTGGTTGGATTTATTCCTAGTTATCTTCTTATTTTGGTTGCAATTGTAAATGGAATTGTTTTCTGAATTTCTCTTCCTGCTGCTTCATTATTGCTATATAGAAATGCAACAGATTTCTCTATGTTGATTTTGTATCCTGAAACTTTACTGAATTCACACATCAGTTCTAGCAGTTTTTTGGTGGAGTCTTTTGGGTTTTCTATATAACATTTCATGTCATCTGCAAATAGTGAAAGTTTTACTTCTTCCTTGCCAATTTGGGTGCATTTCAATTCTTTTATTGTCTGATTGCTGTGGCTAGGCCTTCCATTACTATGTTAAATAACAGTGGTGAGAGTGGACTTCCTTGTTTTCTTCCTGACTGTAGAGAAAAAGTTCTCAGTTTTTCCCCATTGAGGATGATATTACTTGTGGGTTTTTCACATATGGCCTTTATAATGTTGAGGGATGTTTTCTCTTAACGTACTTTGTTGAGTGTTTTTATCATGAATGGATTTTGTACTTTTTCAAATGCATTACCCTGATGCCAAAGACAGCTAAGGACTCCGCTAAAAAAGAGAACTAGAGGCTAATATTCCTGATGAACATGGATGCAGAATTCCTTAGTAAAATACTACCGAACCAAATCCAACAATATATTTAAAAATCATTCCTCATGGTCGAGTGGGATTTATTCCTTGGTTATAAGTGTGGTTCATCATGTGCAAATCAATCAGTGTGATATACCACATTAATAAAAGAATAAGAACCATATGATCATTTCAATAGATGCAGATAAGGCATTTGACAAATAAGCATTCATGCTATTAATCATTTAACAGAGGGATTGGCTATAGAGGCAACAGAGTAGAGTGGTGGGAAGATAGTAGAACATAGTAATTAAAAGTATGGGTTCTGGAGCTATCCTTACTAAATTCTAGTCCTGGCACCACTACTTTCTAGCAAATTATTCAACCTTCTTGTGTCTACTTTATCATTTGTGGAATAGAAATACTAATACTACCTATTTCATAGAGTTACTATGAAAATTTAATGAGTTAATGCATGCAAAGTACTTAGAACAGTGGTAAGTAAAGCCATACTATGGCTCCACAAATATTTGCTACTATTATTATAGACTTAAAACAAGTCTTGAGTTGTCTGTTATTCTCAGTATGGTTCCTTAGGTCAGAGATTGCTTTATGTATGTGTGTGTGTGTATATATATATATATACACACACACACATACATACATATATATATAATAAACATAATTTTCCACAATACACTTTCAAAACAAGTTGGGCTGGGGCTTTACTTATGCTCTATCATAATAAGAATAATGACAATTATGTTATTAATGGAAACTATTATTTATTGTGCTGGGTACCCTGCTAAGTATTATATGTGCATTAAGTCCTTCAGTATTTACATAAATACAGTGATATAGACACTGTTATGTCCATTTTATTGTGTAAGAAAATTGTGAAATTTGGAAAGATTAACTAAATTATCCCAGGTCATTTAGCTAGTAAGTGGGGGAATTCAAACCCATAACTGACTTCAAAGTTCATACTCTTAAGTAAACCTGCACTTGTCTTTTACTTTTCAATCTACAGCTCCCTTATTTGCTTAGTTGAGCTCCTTGATGAGAAACTTGATGCTCAATTGCTGTTTTATCTAGTGTCCAAAGTTCTGTATCTTCATTTTTTGTATATTATCAGTGAATTCAATCACACCAGTATGGAGTGTCATTTGTAAGTTCAACTTGGTTCAGAGCCTTACTAGTAGCATCAATCTAGTTTCTGGGATTTGAACTCTTTAGATTATGTTACCACAATGTATGATTTCTTTTTCTTTTATCAACTATTTGACCAATCCCCACTCATACCTCCCCTCTGGTAACCATCAATTTGTTCTCTATAGTTAAGACACTGTTTCTTGGTTTATCTCTCTTCTTTTTGAATATTCTTTCCTGCTTTGTTAAAGATTAATTGACCACATAATTGTAGGTTTAATTCTGGGCTTTCTATTCTGTTCTGTTGATCTGTGTGTCTATTTTTGTGCCAGTACCATACTGATTACTATAGCTTTATAATATAACTTGAAGTCTGGAATTGTGATACCTCCCGTTTTGTTTTTCAAGATTATTTTGTCTCTTTGGGGTCTTTTGTGGTGATAATGTATGATTGTTTATTTCAAGTTTTTATTTAAATTCCAGTCAGTTAACATACAGTGTAATATTAGTTTCAGATGTAGAATTTAGTGACTCATCACTTACATACAACAACTAGGGCTCATCTTAAATGCCCTCCTTAATACCCATCACCTGTTTAAACCATCCCCCTGCCCACCTCCCTTCCAGCAACCCTCAGTTTGTTCTCTATAGTTGAGTCTGTTTTATGCTTTGCCTCTCTCTTTTTTTCCCTATGTTCATCAGTTTTGTTTCTTAAATTCCACATATGAGTGAAATCATATGATATTTGTCTTTCTCTGAATGACTTATTTTGCTTAGCGTAATGCAGTCTTAGCTCCATCCACATCATTGCAAATGG